CATATACTCACAACTGTGTTTTCCCCCTGTGTTTGCTTTTTATTCTTGTTCCTTTTTTTAAAAGTACTTTGTTCCTTTTTATCTGGAATGTTTTGTTGATGTTTGGTTTGTCCCAATAAAAAAAGAATGTTCACAAGCAGTGGAAAAATAACATTAAAAAGGGGAATGGGGAAAGGATGTTTGCAGTGTTTCCTGCCCTCTGAGCTTTCAACAATCTCCACTCCCTCATTTTTATTTTAAATATTTCTGTGTTGGATACTTTGTAAGCCTTCCCTCAGCACAAAGGTAACATATAAATATTTTTGATAAAAGGATCCCTGTTTTCTTTAACCCTAAATTTTCTACAATAATTGGAACCCTACCATTGGAATGCAGTTGTTGAGGAAAGTGTAGAGTCCATCACTTCAATGGGTGGAGCATTATTATTTATTGTTTAATGCAATTTTCTGGTCCCCCTAAGGCTCCAAAGAAAGCTGTGGAAACAGCTGATCAAATTAAAAAAAGCCAGAAAAGCTTTTGCATAAGGATAATTTTGCACAGTGGTGAGGAAGACCTAGATGGAAGTGGTTGGATGTTATGGGGTCATTCAGTGACATTGATTGGAACGAGATTTAGAACAAACAAAATTACTTTGTGGACCTCATTACCAGAAGACGTGACGGCCATGAACTTGGATGACTTTAAAAGGGATTGGATAAATTCATGAAGGACAAATCTATCAAGGGCTATGAGTCTTGAAGACCCAGTGTTACCTCCAAGTTGTGAGCAGCATAGCTCCAAATACCAGTTTCAGGAGGAGAGTAGCAGAGGAGCAATGTGCCTCTGTCTCCTGTTTACATGCACCATAGAGGCAGCTGTTTGGCCATAATGAGCAACAAAATATTGGTCTAACTGAGAAATAAAATGTTGGGCTAAGATGAGTCTGATATGAGTAATTCTTATGATTTTATGTGTGGATGAAAGGATAAACAGCCTTGCAAAGATAGATAACCATGGTTGAACTACGGCAGTCAAGCCCTGTGGCAAACATGGGAAACAAGAACCATTTGGATTTCTGGAAAGGTATTTATTACCAGGAGAGAAATGTAGCAGAAACATGAGAGCCTATCAAAAGCAGTTGTCCTATTCAACTTATACCTACTATAATTAAGGTGGAGTTGTTCCAAGTTTCTTTCTTATGCTTCTCCACTCCCTTGGGCCAAAGTGTCTCTTGCAATGGTCTTGCTTCCTCTTCTACTTTTCCAGGGTTTATTAGACATTCCATCACAACAACTTCCACTTCTCTCATCATTGACCATGCTAAGATAGTAGTTCAGTAGCATCTGAAGGTCCACAGACTTGATACAATATTGGGAAAAACTAATATGTTTTAAAATATTGCCTTGTTAGAAACACTGTGCTTGGTCTGAACAAGCCACAATGACCTAATTCTGACATAATACTAAACCGCGAACAGCACTTTACACGCTGTGCTGGATTCCTAGATCTCGTAAACTAAAACCAAACAAACCACTTTGTGGCTTAGTGTGATATTTAAACCCAGCGTGACATATGGCTAGGAAGTGGAACCTGGTTGACCAAGCAAAATGTTTTCTGCTGTGACTAAGTAGTTGCTGCCTTAAATAATAGTTTCATGTGTGTGTATCAATAGTATAATTTAGTCTTGCTGCTATAATCAGTTTCCTTGGGTTCCTATTCTTGACCAAAACTGGAGTGAGTGTTGAAAACTTTTGCTGTAATGATGGTGAATACATTAGTGTCATAAATGACCATTGGGTGGTGCCAGTCACAATCAGACCTACCATTACTGTAGGCAGAATGAGGTAACTGGAGTGGGCTCAGGTGAAGTAGGACCATCCATATGGTCTTGAAGGATACAGCCTGTGCTGTATCATTAAAGTGAACCTGTTGCCATCAAATAGGAGAAGAGGACAGAGTTTTCTTCATAGTACTAAAAATAAGATTCAGCCATCAGTTGAGTTGAAGAAACTCCTTTTTTGCTGCAGACAACTAAATGTCTTGGATAGGCTCAGCGACCTGTAACATCAGGAGGGAGATATCACCAATCCATTGCCCGCCCTCCCTCCCTTGGAAAAAATGGAGCAGATGCAGCTGTAAGAGTCTGAGAAGTCAAGCAGTGGGCTTGTGACATGGGCTGATCCACTCTGCAAGCATTGTGCAATTGCTTGTTTGTAAGTCATAATACTCAGAGATGTCCAATAGTCATGGGAAGTGGAGACACAATGGCATCTGGATGGATGAGCTCCATTGCTTAGCAGTTTCTATCATAGCTCAGGAGTATCCAGTGTTTTAGAGAAGGGGTTCTTAACTTGGGGTCCACAAACCCCTTGGGGGTCTGTAGATAGATTTCAGGGGGGCTGTGTACTTGGATGGGGAAAATATCACTAACTTCTAACTGAACATAGCTTTTCATTCAATAATGTATATAGGCAACAATTTATAGTCTCTAGACTCCAAAAATATTTGGTAATTTCAATAAAACTCACTGTCTAAAATTACTGTACCCTAAAATTTATTGTCTTGTTGATTTAATGGATTAATAAACACAGATATTACTATATAACCTATTTGTTGTTTTGATAACTGTATGAGCACAATTAGTTTCTTATTTTATGCATTTAAATGCATTTTTCTGAGACATGATCCGTAGATTTCTCCAGACTGTCAAAGGGATCTATGGCACAAAAAGGTTAGGAAGCCCTATTTTAGAGGATTTATTAACAGGATTGCTTTCGTCTATTTTTGGTTAGTAAGGAGATTTTTTTCCTGTTTTTTTCTAAATAGCCAGACCTTCCTATATTTAAATCAGTGCTGATGCAACTTTGAGGCTTGATTATTCCAACAGATTTTACATGGAGTATCTGTTGAAGACAACTCAAGAGTTTTAGCTAAGTGCAGAGGTTAGAAACATGGTGTTAGGAATACAGAAAGCAAATTTACAGTGATTATTTCATGCAAAATGCTTCACCTCTTTACTGGATTTAACTCATGTTCTGGATTTGCACAATGCCTTGAGTTCAAGGAACCAGTAGGTTTATAGCTGATCTGGTTAAGTGTGTTGTATGAATAGCAGAGCTAGTGAGTCAAGTTGTTAGTCTATGCAAGTTAGCTCCAGATTAGCTCCACATATTTTTTTTTTTGGTGCCATAAAAGTTGAATCTGGGACCATTTTGCAAAAAAGGCACGTCTTTATCACCAAGCTATGGAAGTTGTAACTATCTCAGGACCTTTTCCTGCAATGATTTTCTTCTCTGTTCTGTAATTGCCCTGATGACCATTTTAATTCCATGCGCCAAGTCAAAGTATTCCCTAACCTGTAGAAGATACCAGTTGGCAGATGAAATCAAATTAAGCTGGGCTCCCTGTCTCAAATCCACAAAACCCTCTTTTGCCCATTTTTAACCACAAAGGAATAGACAAGCTTCAGTGGAGTAGTTTGTACAAGGCTGAGTACCTCAGCGGTAGGAAAGGAAAAGGAAGTGACTGCATCTGTTAGATGGGACAGAGACAGGGACTACATCTGCTAGGTGGGACCTGTGTAATAGGACTGTGGGTGATTCATATCACGAGAGGTTAGGCTTGGAGTATAAAGGGGTTTTCCTTGCAACCAGATGGCATCAGGATTCAGCTGAAGAGGAAGAGGCCTGCCAAAGAGAGGAGGATACAGAAGGATATTTTTGGCTTGTTTAAGCATGTGATATCATCAACTTGGGTTTTTCTTTCATTTTCATCCTTGATACTCTTAGGGACACCTATGCCATCATTTCTGTGTTTGGGTCATAGCAGGGTGCCATCTGCTCACCCCTACAAAAGTTGTGCTCCAAGAAAGCAGACTGCATTAGGGATTTCTTTCCCAAATGGGGTGCACGTGCACCCATGCCTTTTCCTGAAGTTCCAGCTGGAGATGGCTAGAGATGTGAAAAGCAACCCATCCTTTGGGCTGTAAGGAAACAGCCTGCCCTGCTTTAGCTTGGTTGCAGGGGTTGTGCTATTGTTGGTCAACATACAACGTGGAGGATGTAAGTCACGTCCAAGCGTGTCTCAAGCATGGGGGCACAGTGACCATTCATGCCCCTTGTGGATTTTATGCCACAAAATAATAAACTCGTATGGATGGAGGGTCACTGTGCCACCCCAGGAGCAATAGCCTAAACCAGGGTTTCTCAGCCTCAGCAACTTTAAGATTTCTGGCTGGGGAATTCTGGGAGTTGAAGTCCATACTTCTTAAAACACTGGCCTAAACTAATAGAGCTTCTGTTTTCCCAGACCAAGGGCCACACTAGGACTCTGGGTGGTGGGTCAGAGGATGCATGCCAAAAAATAATGGATGGGGCCAGAACGAGAGCTGGGCCTGATTTCATTTCATTTCACGGTAATCAAAACTAAATACAACTAACATGAGTACTCTGCAGTTGTGTCTTTCATAACTTTCCCCACTGGTAGTATTTGGGGGAAAATACATGGAGCTCTGGGTTATACACCTTTAAATGAGTAACCCAAAATTAAAGCACCTTGAACTGGCTGTACTGCTCTTACTGAGACTTGAGTTGGATCGGTTGGATTATCTTGACTTGGGGTTTTTTTTCTGCCTTCATCTTCTTTTCAGACTTTCAGAGAATAGTCAGTGATGATCTTCAGTCTGAATGTCCAAGCCTGGTCTGGTGCTATTTCTTCTGTTAAATTTGGAACTGACATGTTTTCATGGGTTTGGGGATAGTCCAACCATTAGAAGACAGGGTATTTCTGTCTGGGTCTAAAAGCATAAGACATGAGCTTAAGGCCATCAGTATAATCTAAATTGACTGCTAGAGTTAGCTTTTCTCAGTCCTATCTAGAAACATAATGGACTGTCCACCTGGGCCCATCAATGACCTACTATCCTTCCAATCAGAGCAAACTGAATCATGGAACTAGTAAGGAAAATCAAAATAAGTCGCCATTCGTTATAGTGACTTTCTCTTTTTATTTTTTTAGGTGCCGGTTCCCTGGGAAGCTTTATGAAAACAAGGAAAAGAACCAAGCAATTGACATTTTCATTTGAGACATAGGAAACGGAAACAAACGAAGGGACCGACATGGCTGATTACTCATCTTATAAAGAGACCTCAAATCGGCATTTGCGCTTCAAACTTCAGAGTCTCAGCCGCCGCCTTGATGAGTTAGAGGAAGCAACTAGAAATCTCCAGAAAGCGGAGGATGAGCTTTTAGATTTGCAGGACAAAGTGATCCAGGCAGAAGGCAGTAACTCCAGCATGTTGGCTGATGTGGAAGCCTTGCGAAAGAGAGTTCTGAAAATAGAAGGGAAAGATGAAGAGATCAGAAAGGCAGAAGAGCTTTGCCAGCTGATGAAGGCCAAGCTTGAGGAAGAGGAAAGCCTCACTCGAGAGCTGAAATCTGAAATCGAGAGGCTTCAGAAGCGAATGGCTGAGCTGGAGAAACTGGAGGAGGCTTTTGGTCGGAGTAAGAACGACTGCACTCAGCTTTGCCTCAGCCTCAATGAGGAGAAAAACCTGACCAAGAAAATTTCAACAGAACTGGAAGTTCTTAGGGCAAAAGTGAAAGAACTGGAACAGTCAGAAGACCGGCTTGATAAAACGGAGCAAAGCTTAGTGAGTGAACTGGAAAAACTGAAATCTTTAGCCCTCGTTTTTGTCAGCGAAAGAAAACACTTCACTGAAAAGGAGAAGCAGAATGAAAAGTTGATACAAGAGCTCACCCAACAGCTGGAACAGAATAATAAACTTAACCGTGCTGACCAAACACGCAATACATCAAATCTGCTGGAGAGATCATCCAATAGTATAATTGACAGAAATGACCTAAGGATTGAGGTTGACTTAACAACTTCAGCACTATCCTCAAAAGAAACCAGAAGAAAAGCCAGTTTGGACTACCTAAAGCTTGTGGAAAACGAAGCTCGAAACAAATCAGAAAACCAGAAGAATAAAAACCAAGAAGACAACAAGGTGAAGGACCTCAATCAAGAAATTGAGAAGCTCAAGACCCAAATTAAACATTTTGAGTCTTTAGAAGAGGAGCTTAAAACCCTAAGAGCCAAAAACAATGACCTTCATGACAACTACTTGAGTGAACAGAATAAGAATAAGATCCTTGTGGGCCAGCTGGAAGAAATAAAAATGCAGATGAAAAAGCAGAAAGAGCTGGAGAATGGTGAAGCAGAGATGGAGGAAGTGAACTTGCCCAGCAGAGTTAAGCATGACCGACCCAAGCATCGAACTGTTACAGCTGAGTCCGCAGTTTCCAAACATAAGTCACGGGAACTTTCACCTCAACACCGGCGGGAGAGGCTACGCAATCGAGAATTGAATAATGAATGTTATGGCCAAGGTAGTAAGCGAGTTACGAGCCCTAATATGAACAGCAGAAGGGCAGCCAAAACATCGAGTACATCCACTTTGTTAGACACCTTAGGAACTGATGCTAAACGGGTAGAAGACAAAACAACCTTGGGCATGAACAATTCTCCACCAAAAGACAGCAGCACCTCTCCCGCTGAAGTGAAGAAATGTAGGGAGCAGCCTCCAGTGCTTAGCCGTTATCCACCTGCAGCCCAGGAGCATAAATCTTGGAAGGTCTCTTCAAAACCCAAAAGTGAAAATACCATGAGGAATAGAGTTGAAAAAGTATCCCAACCACTGAATGATGCTCATCATGTTAGACCTGATGAACTTGAAGACCAGCCCAGCAAACCAGAATCTGTAGTACCATCTTCTGAAAGGGGGCTAAAGATGCCTGTCACAGAATCATTGGTTCTTGCAACAGAGACTCGGACCTCCAAAGTTAACTGTGGGCCATCAAATGGTGCTGCTTTGTCCTATGGGCAGTATCTCTCAGGAGAAACACTAACTTCTGAACCAGTGGGCTTGAAGATGGAAACTACGGTTTCAGCTCGCAGGCAGCACTTGGAAGAGGGCTCTCAAAAGACATTCAGCTTCCAAGATAGAGAGTCTATGGACCCTCCACTAGAAATAACAAAATCTTCTCTTTTATCAAAGTCTTGGCTCATTTCGAGAAGCCAAGAAGATCTCTTGCAGAGTCATCCAATTCCTCAAAAAGAAGAAATAGACCAAACTCTTTTGTCGACTGTAAACTGCAACAGTTTGGACCTAAAAGCAACAGTGGCAAGATCCAAAGCTGTCAATCCCAGCTGGATTGAGAAATCTGGCAACAGTGAGGGGACAAGCAAAATTGGAAATATTTCTGCTACGTTTGACTTAGGAATAAAAAAAGAAATCGCTGCCCGAGAATTCACAAGTTCCAAAGGATCAGTTCATACACTTTCCTTTGAGAATGATAGAAATGCTAGCAGCGAAGAAGACCTCAGTAGACAATCCAAAATGGCAGCAGCTGGTGCGATGTCAGGATTGAAATCCCGACGGCCATTTAGTCCAAGAGAAGCTCTGCGCTCTAAAGCTGTCATCAAACCTGCAATTGTGGAGAAGGATGTTAAGGAAATCATGGGTGGTGTGGGTTCTGGTCTGGAAACCAGCTTTGAAAAACAGCATCCCACCTGTAAGACAGTGGCACATAAAATGACCAGCAGTATCACCATTTACCCATCTGAGCCAATTATTTCAAGGAGCAACACAACGGATGCTACAAGGGAACAGCTGCATGCAACAGTTGGCAGTGTTCAAATCATTCCAAATGAACTATCACCAGGAGCAGACGCAGCCAGCATTCCTAATGAGTTATCACTTAACAAGAGCAGTATAACCTTGAAGTTACCAGAGACTGATAAAAATGGAGACCCTGTTCTGAGAAGCAGAGTAGAAACGGTCATCTCCAAAAGTAGTATTACAATAAAGCCTTCAGAGACCACTGAAAAAAACAGTGAACCACCCATGGAGACAGGTGGTTGGAAGAGTCACAGTACTTTGGGGACACACTCATCTGAGACCAAGCACGTGACGGTAAGAAGCTCATGGCGGACAAGGCGAGGATTGCATCCTTTGGAAGACTCTGCAGCCAAGGTGGTTGAACATGCAAATCCTCGGACTCCATGCAGGTCATCTACCGATCCTTCTAAACCAGAAGGGATGACGGCACGCATCTATGCGATTGAGCAGAATTCCAGAAGGGCCAGTGCCAGGATAAACTCTTGGAATACTCCAGAATTAGACTCTAGAAGGACCAAAAGTAGCTTGAGTGCATCTGAGATGCTGAGCCAGAAAAGCTGTGTCAGTGACCTTGTGACGGCTTCCCCTTGGAATTGCACAGTAATGCCAGTAAGTGTGATGTGCGTTCTTTTGTTCTGAAATATTTGCATTATTAAATCAAGGGAGAAGGGGGCTGTTCTGGGGCTGGAAGCATTTGCTTTAAACAAAAGAATCGTCTCTCTTGGCATTACCCTTTCCCCATCCATTCGGACTAGAATGATCCATGCTTGTATGCATGCTGATTGATTGACGGCGGTGGCTACATGGCAGTACATTTCTCTCCTAACGGGGCTCTACCTATCCCCGTACCCTTATGAGAGAGTTTGGGTGCAATTCATGTGCAAATACAATGGAGGTTAGGATGCGTCTGTGCAGCTCCATTAGATAGAAAGTGCCCAATCAGCATTTGCTGCACACCCCAGAGTCTGCCTGCTCTGCTGATTTGGCACACCTATGCTGCATTTGATGGTGGCATTTATGCAGGACATCCACGTACATCAACATTTTTTATATTCTGCAGTTTCATCCATTAGGTTTGCATATCTTATGTTCCATCTGCAACATAACTGACAACAATATGAACTACAACAGTTTCAGGAAACAGTAAAAAGGCCTGGGGCAGTAGGTTTTCAGTGTACCCCAGAGGGAAAGAAAGAAAGATACTTGCCTTTTCCAAGAATCTGTTCATCTTCACTTCCGCCTCAAACCCAACAGTCAATTAATTTTCATCCAGAACTCTTCCACCAGTTGCTGATTTTTCTTTCCTTAAATGTTAAAACCTTGTACTGTCAAATGTTAAAACCGTGTACGGTGTGTCAAAAATTCAAAAAATGTTAAAACCTTGGGGCAGAACTGAGTAGCAGTAAAAGGACTTATTCCATGATCTCTAGGATTGGCTAGCCCCTTGATTCATCTGTAGACATTTGGATCCTTCCTATTTCCCAAGGATAGCCTGGAATTTCACAGTGATTATGTTAATGGACAGAAGAAATTAGTTCATGGATCTTCCTGTATCTCTGATATAGTACCGATTTGCGTCCATTTTAATGGTAATGCATATTGGAAACAAATCTGGATTGTGGTCTAATTTTGGACTAGGTAGGATTTTTTTCCTTTTCTATTTATTTATTAAAACATTTTAAAAATGGATTAAATACAAAAAGAAGGAAAAGAAGGAAAAAGAAACGTAGTGGGTAAAAGAATAAAATATCAGGAAATAAAAAGGAAGTTTACAATTGTCATGAAATTTGAAGTTCATTATTTCATTAATTGATTGCATTGAACTAAGTTCGTTGTATCATCTAAAAAAAAAAAAACTGGAAATCTCTATAGAACTCTGAACATAATATTAATATCCCCACTATTTATCCTTATTCCAAGGATAAATGGACATTATCATATAAAAGGAAAACAGAGAAAAAATAAAAGAAAAAGAAAAGTCAATAAAAGAGTGTTAAAAAAGCTGCTTAACTTTAAATTCCCTCCCATTATATCCTGACTGATAAATACACCAAATGTCAGTGTAAAAATGTCAGCAGTTTCCTCTTAAAAACCTTACTTAGTGTCTGCCTTTTTGTTTGACATACAACTTTTAGGGGAGCCATTCTTGCTTCACTTTGGGCGAGCTTCTCTTCTGAATATAGACTCTCAATTGTGCTATGCAGTTTTTCAGATTCTAAGGCCAAACAGTAGTTGGAGCACATTGAGGCCCAAATGCAAGAGATGTTTTTTCCCAGGATTTTGCAGAAGGCACCCAAGGAAAGACATGGCTGTTCTAAAGAGTTTAAAGGAAAGACAGGGCTGTTTTAAAGATTCTCGGAAAAGGCAAGTATCTTTCTTTCCCTCTGGGGTAGAAGAGGGAAGACCTATTGCCCCAGGCTTTTTTACTGTTTCTTGAAACTGTTGTAGTTCATATTGTTGTTAAAGTTAGGTTACAGATGCAACGGAAGAGAGGCAGACCTAATGGATGAAACGGAAGAATATAAAAAATATTGATGTACGTGGATGTCCTGCATAAACACCACCATCAAATGCAGTGTAGCTGTGCCAAAGCAGCAAACAGTCATGCTGCCGCACAGCCCAAAGCGCCCTTTTGCCTTTGGATTTGCACCAGCGCATAGCCCTTGCCTAAATCATGTCTGCGGTTCTCGACTGCTTCCATTTATGCAGATGAAAAATAACCATAGGCACAGCCCTACCCCCCCCACCCCGACTTTGGAGGGAAAGAGATCCTTTGGGATCTTTTGGAAAGATTCTTCCAGCTTGCTGTGTGCTCACTGAGCATGCCTAGAAGGCACTGGATGCATGGGGGGATACAAAGAGTAAATGAAGGGGAATAGAATCAATAATCTGGAAGATGGTATGGACCACTTTGGGCTGCAGTCTTTTATGGGAGATCTCCTTTAGAGAATGCCTTCAGTTGGTTGAGTTAGATATTTGGGGTCCACAAACTTAGGCACAAGATTGGCAAAGGTTTAGCTGGACTGCCCTATTGGGATGATATTAGACCAGGGTTTCTCGACCTTGGCAACTTTAAGATGTGTGGACTTCAACTCCCAGAATTCCCCAGCCTGGCTGGGGAATTCTGGGAGTTGAAGTCCACACATCTTAAAGTTGCCAAGGTCGAGAAACACTGTATTAGACTGATACAGAAGAATTTATGCAAGATAGACACATCCGTCCTTTCTTATACTTTCATCAACTTAAATCCATCATGCAAACATTGCTTTTGGTCCCCCAGGTTAGCATCACTGCACCTCCACACATTGGATGTGTTTGGATTCTTTCAAGAATTCTTTCCATTGCTTCAATGCTGTCCTAGATAGTTTTTCTCCCCCCCCCCCGGAACTCACTGACTTAATGCTGGGCAATGGTAAAAATAAAATAACAGTGGTGAGAACATTGACATGGAAAAATAAACGACAAGAAAACCAGCCGAATCAGATTAAACATAACAATGCTAGGATTCTAAAAGTAGCACATTCCAAAGTCTTATGCTTGGGTTGCGAAATTGGAATCAAATTGCAACAAATACGAAGTCCTCACAACTCCGCTCATGAGCGAAAATGGGTCAGTTCTGTACCCAACCTAGCACCCCAGACTCCTAGCAATCCACCCTCCAAAAATTGTAATTAAAATCTAATTAAATTAAAACTAATTTTTCCCCTCCTCCTTTGTCCTGGCCCCACTCGCTTTTTGAAAGATGGGCTCCTGTCATGACGCTCAAAGGCTACTGGCCCGCAGCAGGCGCTGCAATGCAATTCACCAGTAATCCATATAAGGACGCCCTACGCAGCTCAGCAGGAAGCAACATTCCTACTGTGAAGTCCCATGATTATTATGAAGGTTCTTATTTATTCCATTTATAACCTGCCAATTTTCCAAGAATCTGGAGGAGGATTTTCTTGTCCCGAATCCCACAAGTCTGTTTTAACTACTGCATCATCATGTGCTACTTGCTCACAGCATTGAGCATTTGCTTGGCCTTTTTCCCGTGCCTGAAGAACTTGTCAGCACCACGCACTCTGCAAAACCTTGGATGAAGGCCGGCCTTCCTTCCACCCCAAATCTGAATGTCTCAACTAACCATGATCTGTGGCTGAATTTCTCTCTGGGACCTGTGAGGGAAACTACTACCCCATCTCCCAGGATGGCACGTTTGTTCCTGAGCCCCTTCTGTGCTGTGTCTCCAAGTCAAACCTTTTCAATGGAAACAGCCCCAAATGAGCTGTAGTTCTCCAGCTTTTATTTATTAATTGAGTTTGGAAAGCTGCCTCTTAAAAGCTGAAAAATCTAAATTAAATCCGCTTGTGTTTGTGCTGAATAGTCACATGAGTCAGATATCAGCAGTGAAAAGGAATAGCTTGATTGTTGGCTTCTGGGGAGTGACAGTGCCCTGCTCAGCCTTGTTCCTGCCAACCACTGGGACAGTGATGGTGAACCTCTGGGCTCGGCGTGTCAAAAATTCGAAAAATGCCTAACTTGACTGCTGGCATGTCAACCCCCCCTCCCCTGAACAAAAGAGAAACAATTCTTTACATACACATTTATTTTTAAAAAAACAGTTCAATCATGTGTGGTGGTGTTGTCAGGTGTTGGTGAACACTGGCGTATCACCCAAAATGTTGTGGCATGTCATCCTTGACATGCATGTCATAGGTTCGCCATCACTGCACTAGAATGTCCTGAGAACAAGCAATACAGTCTCAACACATTGGGCAGAGTCTAACTCTGTCCACAAAATTCATTATACCATTCAAGCTGTTGGGCCATGCTCCTTTCCAGTTGTCCTCTCTCCCTTCTGCCCATCTGAACACCAGAGAAGAAACTTTGTCTCAGAAATAGCAATACCCAACCGAGAAGACCCTTGGTCCAAACTGACCCTCAGAATGCCATCTACTGACCAGCTGCTGACCATAGACTTTCTGACTAGTTTTATCCCCATTGAGGAGAGTAGACCTATAAATTTAATTAATTAATTGCAGGTGTAATTCTCTGATTGAAAAAATCTAAGGTCCATCTCTGGCAGAAGGCCTTTTTTTCTGCAGGAGAAGCTGGTTTTTTTGGGAGGGGTCCATCTTACTACAGGTGAACCCAGCTAAGGCTCAGATCTCAGTCCCTGAGGATTAAGAGTGACTTCTCTGAATGAGGATCTTATGGAAACAGTCCGGTTCAGCAAAATGATAATCAAATGCAGATTCTTTCTGGCCAATGGGTGGAGGGGAAAGCTGAGCCCAGTGGTCTCCTCACCCCCCAATTGTTCATAAAACCAGAAAGTGGCAATTAAAAATGTGTACATGGGCAGGTTTTTTAAAAGAAGAGCCTATGGTTTTGAATGTTTCAAGGGTCTTGGATCTTGTAGCACAATGCGCTCTGCTGGCATCAGCCTGCAAGTACAGGACTTGCGCAGTAAGAAGTCTGTTTGGTTTATTTAATGGATTAAAAGTCACAGCCAGTCAATCTAACTCACATCTAAAAGACAGCAGTGGGACCATTAAAAGTAAAGTGAAAAGTCCATGCTAAACACCACCTGAAATTTAGGGAAATGTTTTCAGCTAGGAAGCTAACCCTGCAGGAAGAGAACTTCTGGAGTCACCAGCTCCTTAGGAGAGATAATTGCTTGGGGGAACGAAAACTTTAATGTAGGTCCAGGGCTAACAAGCCTGGGTTTAGAACTGGGGACTCTAGAGGACGTTTAGTCCAGTCTCATGGTTCAGAGAAGCAGAATAGGCTGGGTAAAGAACCACAAAGGTTGGATTCATACAACATCCTAGACTAGGGTAAAATGGGAGTGGATGGGTTGTAGTCCTAAGTGTTGTGGAAAACCAGAGCAATTGTGTTTGTTAATTGTTAATCATGCTGGTCCACAGTCACCAGGAAACCTTCCAGCTTAAATGGAGATTTCCATCTCCTCCCATCCCCATATTTCTGCCTGTTTGGTGCCTTTTTATTTTTATCTGTATATCTATATAGCTATATCTCTCTCTATATGTCATCTATCTATCTATCTATCTATCTATCTATCTATCTATCTATCTATCTATCTATCTATCTATCTATCTATCTATCAACTATCTGTCTGTCTAATCTTGGGCCTTGGTGGATGTTCATCTATAGGTGGCTCACAAGGGACTACCTTATTAAAGCACTTCCTCTTGGTTTTGCTACAGGAAGACAAGAAAGATTTTGCTCCTAGTTCCAGAAGAAAAACATACGGCTCCTCTGAGCAACTGACACCAAGGAAGAGGCCAGAAATCAAGGTGGAACTGCCCCGCCAATTCCCGAGCAGCAGGGCCGAGGAGCGGAGGCGGTGGTCCAGAGACCACTTGGAAGCCAACTGAAGTAAGGCTGAGGGTAAGGCTGATAATGGCGTTCAGGCTTTGAACCTGTTTCCTTCATTTCCGTCTGCCTTTTTTGTTCAGGAATTCAAGACAGCCTAGATAGTGTTCCCTCCTCCTGTTTTCCCCACAGTAACCTTGCAGAGATAGGTTGGATTGGGAAGCAAAACTGTCCCAAATGTGGTGTTTGTTTTAATTCTTAAACTGTTTATTTGGAAGTCATACCAGAATAAGGAGGTATATCAGAATTGTAAAATAAATAACATAGACAAGCTTTTGGCCTGTTTTGATTTCCTGTAGAATGCTGCTGGTGGGTAGACTGGATGGTATCGCTCTCAGAGGGCAGTGTCACCTCAGCTAGACACTTAGTTGGTTAAGGACATATTGATGGCTATCAGTACACATGTAAATCACGTGCATCTACATTAAAATATCCTGGATTAAAATCTCTATATGTGGAAACCACTGCCTTGCACACTTGACCTCTCAAGAATTTTTAATAAACGGCTTAAAAAAAGGGATTTCCCACCCTCACAACTATAATTATATAGTATTTGAATTGGCTTGTATACAGAACAGAGATTGTTTTGTGTGGAAGATAGGCCCCTTAATGGCTTCCTGAACTTTTTGAATAGGTCTCCCCTCAGAATGTTGGCTTCAGGTCTTTCCCAATGTGACTGAACGGCGGTATCCTGCAAGGAGCTGATGCAAAGAAACCAATTCCTTTTTTAAACTACAACTCAGTTAAAAATTGAGGAAAACTTTGCAAAAGAAGGGTGGGTGTTGGTGAAATCCAGCATTTGATGTTGTCCTTTCTTTCCCTCTCTCCCTGTATCCCCAGCGCATTTCCTGTAGCAGTTTGCATGACCTCCAGACCTGGAACTCCATCTTTCTCCTTCTGCTGCTGCTGCCAGTCCACCATGGGGACTGAAATGGTGCCTGACCTTTACCCCTTTCCATGCTGAAGCTCTCTCCCCCTTCCCCCCAACCTAGGATTGACTTTTCTTTTAATGGTGGCTTTGCGTTTTCCTTCCCCTCAGTGAAGGAGGATGTGGAGACTTTGCTCAGGGGAATCCCACTCTGGAACCTTACCGAGCTCGAATCAATGGAAACCCTCAGCTAGCAACTGGCCGGAGGCCTCCAAGAACTTTGGATTCTCAGCTTGGGGGTTTGTTGACTCTGTTCCTGGAGAAACTTTTGGTTTTGTTTGACTTGAAAGTCCCACGGAGAACCACTCTGGACTTGTGTCTGCTGGTCCTCAGCTTTGGAGAGCCATTTACCCGACACCTCCTGGCCACAAACTCTTGAAGATGCAGCTCCAGAAAGAATGGCCTAGCAGGGAACGTGGGCCATTGTTTCACAGTAGCAGCCCCTCTTCTTCCCCTCGTCGTCCGCACTGCAACAGCTTGGCTCATACTGAATGTTTGGCTGAGCTGCACGGAGAAGCAATAAATGGAGATGCTTCTGTTCCAGCATCTCCTGCTCCACGGGCAGGGACTGGGGCAGCAGGGCTCTTGGGTTCTCTTTGGCCTCAAAAAAAATCTCTGTTTCCTTTCTTGATGGCACAGCACACTCCTTGCAAGCCCAGCCAGACGGGATACGCAACTCTGCCTGGACTGGGCTGGTTAGAGCGAGAAATCCCATTGGCAAGCCTCCTGCTCTGCCCCCAACCCAATCTCACCCTGATCCAAGGGCAGAGACCTGCCTGGGACCCAGCACGCTTGGTGGGGCTGTTCTGACATTACTTGAACTAACCCCTGGAAGAATCAAGTGTGGCCAGCAGTCGGAGGTGTCTGATTTGTTCAGCAGCTCAATGCATCCTTGGGGGGGAGGGGGGACACATTCCTTTATTTCTGCTACCTCACCACTTGCTTGGACAAAAGGACCAGCGTATAATCTTCCAGAGACACAGTGGCTGCCCTCTTCCACCTCTGAAACAGCAAACTGAACTTTGTTCACACAATCATCCCAGCCCCCCACCCCCAGGTCTGTTTTCCACCATCTTCTGTGCATTTTGCTCAGATGCTGCTGTATTGTAAGTCTTCTTACCTGCCCCTGCCCCAGTTTGCTAAGGTGGGACTCAAAAACTGATCAGAATTAGCTGCTCTTCCCTTTTAAAATGAGCCTCTCTCATGCGCATGTACATGCCGAGCACTAAAATGATGGGAACCAGTTTGGAAGTTCTCTAGGGCATGTAACCTGTGAGTTGCCATTCACCCTTCAGCTGTTTGACAAGAGATGTGCATCTGTTCCAAGGGCGCTTTGAGGATGCAATTATTATGGCAGCCAGTCCACGTGGGTCAGCTAACAATAATGGGTTAAGGAGGGAGCTCTGCAGAGGAGCATCAGCCGGTAGGGTTGCTGAGCCCTTTGCTCACTTGCACACCTTCCCCACCGCTATTACCTGCAAAGCTTCTGTTTTTCCTGGATAGCTGGGAGCAAACACAGGAAAGTTTTGAGGTGTGAAAATCTGTGGGTACCGAGTTTCTCCTTTTCCTGTTCATGTCCTCCTGCAAGTTGCCTCACCCACACATTGGGATGCAAACATGGGGCTGATGGGCCTGGGATCTAAAACCCAATTTATATTCCTATTTGTTTGGTTGTTTTCTCTTTTTACCTCTCAGTTCCCTGGGAACAGCCTTACATTCCCCTGCTTTTGCTGTCCTTCTGCTTCAGGATAGCAGTTGGTGCACGCACTCCAGTGGCCCTTTTCGGAGAGGGGAAAATAGAGGAGCAGCCCTGCACCACCACCACCTCCTGGTCAACCTCCTATTCAATGCTTGGCTTTCTCAAAAAGCATTTGATGGGTGGTCTGATAGGTTTAGGCCTCAAGATGTAGCATTCTGCGCTTTAAAAGGATTTGCCTCCCTCTAAGCCGGTGTTTCTCAACCTTGGTAAGTTTAAGATGGGTGGACTTCAACTCCCAGAACTTCTTGGGTTCTCGTTGGCCTCAAAAAAAGTCTCTGTTTCCTTTCTTGATGGCTTTGTTGGCTGGGGAATTCTGGGAGTTGAAGTCCACCCATCTTAAACTTTCCAAGGTTGAGAAACACTGCTCTAAGCCATCATTGCCCTATCCAACCATATGCTAGGGGAACTTCCATTGCAATCCCTGGAAAGCAAACCATGATGCTAAATGTTAAGTGGCACCATCTTTACTTGAGAGAAAAGAACCCACGTCCCCCATCTCTGTCTCTTTCCTTCAAAGATGAGTGGCTGTGTTCACACCATAGGCTAAGCCAAGAAGCGTGGTTCACAAGTGCGCATGTTTCACACCATCTTTTTCCCACGGAATGTGAGTTTAATCAAAAGCTGAGGCATACTGTGGCATCCAGACCTGGAGTTGTTAGCACATCAGACTTACAGAAACAGGAGGTTATAACCATAATACATTATATGGACAAAGTTCTGCTTTATGTCCAACAAGGGTTTGAACCAGACAACCAGACTTGATTTAAGAAGTCATGCACAATTGGGGGGGGGGGGCACACGTCATGGGAACACAGCCAGTGTTGTCATTCCTTCATGGCTCTTGCAAAACCAGCTGTGTAGGGTACCCTGTGAGGGTTTCAGAATGAACCCAGCTTTGAAACCAGAAAGTAGATTCTTGACCTTGTAACCCTTTGAACCTAAACATAACTAACGGTCACTGTGGAAGCTCCCAGTTTCTCCCTTTTGCATACCAAGTTTTCTGTAGCACAACAGGAATAAAAGGAGACC